ATTTATATATGTTGTGGCATTAGACAGTGACCACAGGAATTTTGAAGCCCACTATATAATTATCGGAAAGACTTATATTCAACAATTGGCACAAAGAGAACGTTAACTACGGAGAACGTGTGAACATTAATTCAATCCGTCGGATGGCATGGTTCAGCCTTGCAGACATGGTCACTCTTGTGTAACTTATCTCTTTCATTCACATGAAATATATTGTTCTATCTCCAGCCTAAATGTGTTCTCCATCATATATTGGTGATGTTACGATGGCATGAGTCAGTGTAGACACCGATGTGAAATAACAAAGGAAGACAAATCAAACATCACTTACAAAATAAGTTGTGCCAACTGCGAAAAAACTACATTGGACAAAGCGGACGTCCCCTTCGCCTTCGCCTACACGAACATCAACTGGCAGTCAAACACCATGATACTTATATCAATACACGTAGACAACTACGGAATCTCATTCGATTGTAAAAATTTGGAAATCTTGAACAGAGGAAATTCCAAAACACCAGAGCATTTTTTGAAGCCTGGCACTTAGGTCAATCAGCAATCAACAAGCACATTGAAATCGATCCAAGTTATCAACCAATCAGGCAAATTATGCACAAATATAGGAACAAAATTCAGACCAATGGGAGACATAACCAAAACAAAGAAGTAAACAATGACAATTTTACGGTCACTAAGGAGCAATCACCATCGAGGTGTACAGAACAAGCTGTGAAACACATATAGAGAAATTCGAACACTTCACTTCTATCTGAAGTTTGTGCTGATGATGTTGTTTAGGAGAACGATGAAAGCTACACGATCAAACCATCCAGCTCAGAGTACAAAACTCCATCATAGTCAGTCTTTTCTTATCGTTAACCCGCCTCGAAAATTTCTGTCTTTTAATGGCAAAACTGGCAAGTTCGATAGATTGTCGAAATATTTAAAACAATACAAACAGATTGAAATTGCTTACGGATGGAAGTGACTATCAGAAAGCACTACCCAAGCAAAATATCATGTTCAAAATCACATAGTCTTTAGACAGGAGATAATTCATCTGTGTATTGATTTTTCCACTTTATAATAAGGTGTGTAATGGGAGACAAATCGAATTAGTGTGAAAAGTACACTGGGCGCTGTTTAACGAGATTGATATGGGCAACATAATTATCGCACGAAATGAAACTTTGCATTTGTCATACTAAAAGTGGTATGTACTTAATTTATATAAGGAAACATTAACCTTAAAACACCAAAGTGATTGAAACTCAAACTTGTCACCCCGGTCAAAGTTCATAGTGCATAAATTTAAAAAATTGCTCTTTTTATCAAGTGGTCAGTAACTGAATCACTATACTCAAACGAGTGGTCAGCTCTTTTAATGAACACTTCCAAAACTAAGTCGAAAACCGGACGTGAAACAAACTCGAGGAGTTATTACAGATCAGTCACTCTACTATTACGATTACTGAAAACTGAATGTTGAAGTGTCAACGTAAATATAATCCCTTTTCAACGCTACATTAACACATTTATTTTGCCCAGTAATGAGCTTGTTTTGTTTATGACGTTGGTTTTGATCTCCTGCTTTCATCCCTGCTTTTTGGTCCTTCCCTCTCAACTGAACTCTAGAATGCTTAAACACTGAAGGTTTGTAATTGATTTGTTTCCATTATTGTGGTGAAGAAAAGTATTTTGGTTGATTTGCAACAAATATCAATAAATTACCACTCGGTTTTGGATTTTGCTTGACCATGACACTGCTTTGTTTGATGTTGTAATTCTGTGAAATCTAGAAGTTCGGACTTACGAATATACTTCATAGTCGAATACGTCCTGAAGACAAAAGATACCTTAGTTGAAGGTAGGTCTATGCTTCTCTTCATGCCTAACCCAGTCCAGATTGAAACCGCCGGTTCTCATCTTACCTGAAATTTAATAATAATATATTTATTGTAGTACCGAATTGTCATCGTTTTGTCTCAATACTCAGACTTGTGGATAGAAAGTAAAATAATTTGTGGTGGAATGACAATGAGGAAAAGACTCCATTTTATGTGCACTCGAAAGTGCAGCAACGTTATCAAAGATCCCATAATATGTCTTAAACCTGCGTAAACTCATAGCTAAAATTTTCAAGTTCCGGAGTGTAGGTAAGGTTGGATGAGATGTTAGTCTTCAGAAAGTATGAGAGATTTAACTGAATTAACTTGGAATGAGCGGAATCATTTAGAAATTGAACGACGACAGATTTCCGTCATAAACATACCTAAATAGTAGCTCTGCGTAATTCGAGGTTGCATCATGATCATTGGCTTTACTGATGAATTCTTTTTACAGCAATATTAATAGCGTAGCATTAAATGAAGCCCTAAAATAAACAATTCTGTAAGCCTTGAATATTGATGCCGATGCACTGAACAAACCTTTGATGAGTTCGCTCGGTCAAGCGTCAGCACCAGACAAATATTGGGAGCGCTGTGCTGTGCATTTATAGAAACAGCTGGTTATCATAGATCACATACTTACCAACATATCGACGAACTCCCAATTATGCCTTTGAACTCTGTAAATGTAAATGTACCCTAACTAAAATAAGTTCGGCCACTCTTGAAGAAAGTATGTTGGCTTTTCTAGGTGCAACAAATATGTTAGTAAACATGTGATAAGATTTCAGTAGTTTCCGTAATTGATATATTCATAATACAATCAATTATCCTATATTCCTTTATAGTGCTCTCAGCAATTTTTAAATGAAGTTTCATGCTGTGAGCAGTGTATCCCCGTAGAAAGCATTTCTATCGTGTCTAACAGCTTAGTCCACCGCAAAATAATTAATAAATCTCCGACTATGACTCTCTATCATGATGAGTTAAACTAGATTCAGTAGAAACTGCATTCGAAAATCGATTGAGTCTACATGAATAAGCTAATTTTAGTGGCCATAGCTCCATCAGTTGATAGCTTCAAGAGAAGACTTGACGAACACGCACTCATCAATGGATTACAATCTCTCTTTTGAACCGGCAGTGTTTGACTCACGTCTCACAAATTACCATGGTCATCATTGCCGCATTTCAGCAATTACGCTCTAACTTTCTTATTATCATCTTTCCTCAACTTATTTGTTCAATTTCATCTTCGTACACAGTACTAATTGAGTAATATATATAAGTATTTCTTCAAAAAATCTCTTCCCTTAGCACATGAAATCTAGTTCTATTATTTTGCACTACAACCGACCAACTTTGTGTTTGATGATATGACAGCTGCTAGTATCCAGGATCCCTACTGCACTGAGACAGATACACTCACTGCAACTTCTATGTGAGGACACTCCAAAAAAGTTCACAAGCCGAGAACAAATTACTTGTCAGCTGACTATCGACTTTCCCATCGAATCATCAACGAGTGGAATTCACTACCTCAGCACGTGGTTGAGGCTCCATCTGTCGACTCTTTCAAAAGAAAGTTGGATCAACTGAGAGACCACCATTGCCAGGACTAAAATAGGCCATCGAGCCTCCTGTCCTTCCCAAACTGAAACTGAACAAATCCTCAAAAATCTACTAAACTGACTAGAATTAGTGCAATCTAGTGGATGGACTACCACGCACAAGAAATTAACAAATACATGGGACAGTGCTGAATCAGAAAGAAGCAACTGCAAAGAAATCAATCAGTTTGTACGAGCTCGCCACAGACATTGGATATATTGGGAAGCGGTTAGTCCAAATCTATCCCGTACCTCAAGGTTAGACATCCTACGTTTAACATGTCAACAATCTGTAATACATAACAAATAGTTTCTGGGAATCTGTACATAAGTTGTCTAAGTTAATGTTTATAGATACAACGGTACTGGAATTATGTTGGTACTTTCGAAGCTGGAGTAATTAATACAAAAATTCATTGCTGAATTAAGAATAGTAATGAGTAACAGGAATAGAAGAATTAGCCGACCATAAAGAGATAGTTAAAATGTCATCAAGCTGCTATTCTGTTGTTCAGTGTTAACCTGTAGTAAAGTTACAATGTTAACAGTTGAATTATTTAACTTCTCAAAATAAAAAACTGTAACAAACAAATAAAAAGGAAGAAATAGTGATCCAAAGAGCTTAGACTTATTGAGGCCTTGGTCAACGTATTGGTAATTTGAGCTTGGGAGAGTATTCGCTTTTACTAACATCACTTCTTGAGCAAGAAATATGCATGCTTACTCAATGAGAAAATCTGTGCAACAATCTGTTTCGTGTTACGCTCTGCGCTTCTCATCTTTTTTTAAATTTGATTCGCTTTCCGTTGCTTTTATATTGCCGTCTGTTAGTATTCTTTTCATAGCTGCCGTGATGTGAGTTTGGTCTACTATGAGACGCCATACTAGACTTCACATTTACCATTTCTGACGAGACTACAATTCATGAACAAAACAATGGAATTAAGGATAGCAAGTTTCGGATTCCGGCGTGAAAACCATCCATCTATATAATTAAATTGCATTTTGAAATTATGCCTGATGTCAGTTCGTGATGGAAACTCTTTATCTAATTCCCCACCCCGAATTCCAACTCTAAATCATACTACTAATTTATAACCCTAGTAAGTAGGTGAGTTGCCTTAAGGTCATTTCAGCGTTACTCGAAGATTGTTCATAAGTTGTGGCCTCACTATATTTGATTTGTAGTGGTGGGAGCAGTTACCGATATTTAGTAGAGTGATGCTCACAAATGATAATAACAGACAAGTGTCCAAACAAAGGCAGTTAGTTATCTAAACAGCTAAATCCCCAGTTAAAAAGGTAGTAGGGCAACACATGTGTAGATTTTACCATCTTGAAGTTTTACTGAAAATTGATGTATTGGGTGCTTACATTTTGCTTGCTTATGGAATGAAATGTATTCCAATAAATTTTAATGTGCAGTATTTTTTGTAATGACTAACCCTACCTTTTTCTTCGTTTTAGCTGCCTAGTCTAGCAAAGGGTAGTTTTTTCTGAAATGCTGATATCGAAAACATTCATTTGTAGGTAAGTTGTAGACTTTCATCTTGTTAGATTAGAAAGAAACATGAGTCCATATTATTGCATTTCGAAACTATGGGAAGACCTAATGTGCTAGAAATAAGAATAGCGAAAACTGCCTGTCCAAATGATTTGTACCCGTACAAATAGATATTACAAAACTGCTGCTTGTTTTGCTTTTGTCCCATTTAAGACAGTTTTTCAATATTGTTTAAATAAAGTCTATCTAAAGGTAGAAAGCTGTTAGGCTCTTATAAGTTAACTAGTTTTTAGGAAGATATTGATAAACGGGGTCTGTGAGACTTCTTTTCATTTTGTGATTTAAAGTCTTCTTGCGAAAGTAAAATGGCTTTCATTCCAGCTTTTAGTTTATCAATTTAGTTTGAAACCTACACAAAAATGCTGGTAGAATTAATTTTCCACACGCTGTACTTATACATACTTTTATTTCCTGTTTGAAAAAGATCGTAAATTTCTCAGGACTTTTATAAAGGGCTTAAAGTTGGTCTCATCCCAACACTACAGTTCTGCCACGAATTTTTCAAGTATGTATTTCCTCCGAACCATATAATTGAGCAGAACATGCAGCATAAGTCTTCTAATAAGTACTGACACAGACAATCAGCTTTTGATGCTGTACACTACATAATTTGATAGAAAATCCAACTGCAGATGTCTTCCAAAAGTTTGGAGAATTGATGGACATCCAGAGCTATTATTGTGGGTTGTGTTGTTTTTTATTACATATCTCTCTCATTTAAGTGAAAGGCAAACCAAGAGTATTTGAGTGGAATTTTGTCTCAGAATACACGAGCGCCAAATTTCGATGTGTATTTTATTCTTACAGTTCATTCTCAGAGATTCTTTCTTTACGTTGATCGAGCTAATAATCGTCTGTTGGTTAGTGGGTGATCCATCTGTAAGCGTTTAGACTATAGTGTAGGCGTGCATTAAAATCGAGAAAACTGCAGTGCAGATGATCCATAGGAGTACATCGATGTCTGATGTAACAAAAAATTGTTTAAAGCAACTTGAGTTCTGTACGAAAGAAAAACATTATATCCATTAAGTTGTGAGCTACATCTATTATGTGCTACTTCATTCGTTACAACAAGTACGAACCTTATTGTACCACCTTGTAGGTGGAACAATGATCACTAAAACTATTTTGTCACTAAATATGCATGGCGATGTTGCTCAATAGTTTTGAGCATTGTTTCCAACCGATGGATTGCATACTCGAGCCTAACTTTCTAAGGTTCATGGGACTAAATTGTATTACTGGACTTCACACCATAGATGTAGGCTATATTCCAGTAAGTAAATAAACAGCATTATTTATTGGTAACTGAATATTTTTGTCACGTATTCACAATTAATTTAATGTTAGCCTATATGTTTTTTTCTAGATCATTTCAAATCAATGCAACCCGTGCTTATAGGTTGTCGAAAGAATTGGTGGAAAGGTATTTTTATTTTTATTGAAATCACTTTAAAGTGGTGAGTCAGCTATAACTCTTTCTCCCGATGGAGCAGTCGTCGTTTGTTGGCATCCAGTCAGAAAAGTTCCTTATGAGTGTACTAAAGTAGGTTTTCTTAGCCTATCATTTTTTAGCCTATTTCACATAACATTAAATCGCTACGTACTCCAACTTCTCCTCTAAAAATCAATGTACCCGATACAATCATCAAAAATTCTGCAGAGCCTACTGTAGTAGAACTTTCAAAAGCTTTCGGTGTTCCATGGTTTCATTTTCGACCTAGGTATGTTAGTACACTACACGACATGTATTCTTTATTCATTCAGGAGAAGTCAAAAATCTCGTTCACCTTACTTTTGGGCCCCACTTAAAGAACGAAATAACTTGTAAACTTTGAATGACAAACATATTCCAATCGCCAAAAAGTTTCATAGATTAAAAAGCATTAGTTTTTTGTCGTATATCTTCACTTTGATGTTTCAATGCTACTATAAACACACACTAGTAGTATTTTAAGATATCTTGGACATATTCCGATTATAGTTTAAAGTACGATATTTTTAAAAGGATTGTACATAAGTGTGACGATAGAGTCGCATATAGATAAAATTAGATGATAATATATAAATGATATTTTAGAGGACAACTAACGAATCAATTGTGAAAGTAATAGTAGCAAAATAAGAGGATATCGCCAAGCAAAATAAAATTATGCGTACAAAATTGTAGCTTCAGTCTTTATGAAAGATAAAAGTGCATGTTATAGCTCAAATTTATGATTAAGTAGGAATCATCTTACGAAGCCTGTTGGTGATCTAAATTTCCGGTTTGAACTCGTCGAAATCACAGTTATTAAGCTCGAATCGTCAGTCATAGTGCACAATATTGAGAAATTGTGTTTTTTTGATTAAAACAAAGGAAAAACGAAGGCAGTTTACAAAACGTGATGCTGAAATAAATAAATAGAGATTTTATTGTGTTTATCTTCCATTAATTTCTTGTATGTAAATCAGTGCAGGAATAACACTGTTGTGTTGAAATTTACGAAAGCCAACTAATTTGTGTTTTGGCAGTAAGGTTACATTTATTTCTTGGAATGAGACAGTCAAATCGCTCCAGAATCAACAAACAAGTTATTCTTATGAAAATCAACTGAAAATTTATAAATTGCTAAGAAAACTTGTTTTTATAACCACAGGGTTTCAATCTAAAATAGTTTACATTTAGATGAAAGCTGACGACTAGTCAAGTATTTTCCCCGTATAATTCGTGTAAAACTTGTGGATTTTAAAGGGTGATGGTTAAAATATGGTTTAAACTAGCGTACTATATTTAAACTCTTTTACGAGTCAGTTCAATGTTCTGAAGTCAAGGGGTTGTAGGTAGTCGACGGGAAACCCCGAAATTAGTTTGCGCTCGTACTCAAGGGAACTGGTGCTCCTTGCGGGATTCAAACCCGCGTCACCTAGTTCTACAACTTGAGACCTTACCGTTGAATCATTTGAAGGGCTTAAACCAGTGGCTGTATTGCAACTTGATCGATATAGTTCGACCAGGACTAAGGAACAAATAAATATGCAATTGATCACTACTCAATGATTAGTTTCCCGACCGTTGTTGCTACCTTGACGTGGTGGTCGGGCTTGCCTATCGTGATGACCCAACCGAGCTATACTGGCTGGAACAACCGTTCCTCAAGGTCCTACCATGTCAGACAGGTCGGTTGAAGAGCGGTAAGACTAAAAGCAACAAACCCAAGGTCCGAAGGCGAAGTCGTACTGCTGACTGTACAGAGGTGTGACAGCAGTAAGGTGTTTCCTTCAGACAACCAGCATGACAGCGATGCTGCCTTCCCACAAGGAGGGGTGGGGTTAGAAAAGGTCGACCCTAAAACTGCACACCTCACCTTACCTCACGGATTTCCGTCTCCGGCGGTAAGGCCCTTTGAGGAACGGAGCTAACACATTAAAAACCTTCCACAAAAAGGCCGTGCGCGACCGGCCTCAAGCAGTTGTCCGCTAGGCACTGCGGTCACGCTCTCAGGTCACTGAGACCACCTCTAATCGAAATTCCTTTTCAGGTACCTCCAGAACAACCCTTCCACGGTGTGGGCAACCGGGAAGTGATAACCGCCCTCATACCTCTAACAGCACTCGAGACCACTGTATTCATAATCAACCTTCCTCTTCAATTCCTATTATTCCTCCTACATCGACTTTCAACTATAAACTTCCTCTTTCGGCTTCCTCCTCAAGTGTCACCATAGCCAACGATTCTAGTGCTCAAAACTCTGTCCCAGGTCTACTGAAACCTCGCTCCAAACTACACATTGGAGCCTTCAACGTACGAACCCTATGTCAAATCGGTCAGCAGGCTTCCTTGGCTAAAACCCTAGAGTCTCTTTCCATTGATGTATGCTGTGTCTCCGAAACACGCATACAGGATTCCAGTGTGGTCATTCACTTGACCTCACCTCGGCAAAACGGAGAGCCAACGAGATACACCCTACGTGTATCTGGTGACCCGATGGCCAGTTCTCGTGGACTGGCAGGTGTAGGCATAGCACTAAGCATGAGGGCGGAACAAGCACTGCTAGAGTGGATCCCCGTCAACAGTCGTCTATGTGCTGTTCGGCTAAACGGCTCCGTAAGAACTCGGAAGGATAGGGACACACGTCGTTGCCTTTTCGTCGTTTCTGCCTACGCTCCCACTGACTGCAGCTCAGATGAAGTGAAAGATGAATTTTACAGAAAGCTATCTGAACTTCTTCAGAAAGCTAAACGCTCAGACATAGTACTCGTAGGGGTGACTTTAATGCTCAGATAGGTAGCTTAAACCAAACAGAAAGGCATTTAGGTGGATATTTTAGAATTCCGGCACAGCGAACAGATAATGGTGACCGTCTGCTGCAACTGTGCTCAGACAATCGCTTATTTTTAGCAAACACAAATTTTAAGCATAAGGAGAGACATCGTCTAACATGGCGACCCCCTACACCAAACCAACGATGGACTCAAATAGACCATATTGCCATCAGTCATCGTTGGAGAGGGTCGGTAGAAGATTGTCGCTCATTCTGGAGTACCTGCTTGGACTCCGACCATGCCCTAATACGGGCACGCATCTGCTTGCGCCTCACTGGACGCAAAAAAGCCACATTAAAAAGACCCATTAGAACTGAGTTGAGTAACGAGAAAACCAAAAGTAGGTTCCAAGAACAACTGAGGTCACACTTAGGTAGTTCTGAAGACGAGGCTGACCCAGATGTTGCTTGGAAAGACATACAAGCAGCTGTGGAAACAGCAGTGACATCTATTAGCGACTTAAACCACAGAGTTACAAAGAACCAGTGGATTTCTTCAAAGTCTATCACACTGATGGATTCTCGCAAACTCGTCCCATCAGGTTCCGAACATGATGAAGAGCGACAACAAATCAGATCTAGGTTAAGAAAAAGTCTAAGAAACGACCGTGAGCAGTGGTGGGCAACGAAAGCAAAAGAGATGGAAAAGGCGGCGACTATAGGGAACACAAGACAGCTTTACAGACTAATAAAAGAAACTGGAATTAATAAGTCAAGTGTAAGTGAGATTATTTCGGAAAAAGACGATACTCTCATCTGCTCCCAGTCCAGACGTTTAGAACGATGGGCGGAACATTTCAGAGAACAGTTCAGCTGGCCTTCAGCTACTCTACAACTACCCTCCATTCCCAGACAGGTGAATGGAACATTGAAGTAGGTCCCCCAACTCTTGCTGAAGTTCAAAAGGCTATAGTTAATCTGAAACGAGGAAGGGCAGCTGGTCCAGATGGACTGGCTCCAGAGGTCTTTAAGGATGGTGGTCCAATTTTAGCGATTAGGTTGACTAATATTTTAGCTAAGATCTGGGAGTTAGACGTTATCCCATCTGACTGGTCACAATCACTTATCGTCCCAATATATAAGAAAGGGTCAAAATCATCCTGTGACAACCACAGAGGGATTAGTTTAACTAATATAATATCTAAAATACTAGCCTCGATAATTATCAGACGCCTAACTAAGACTCGTGAACTGCAAACACGAGAGAACCAAGCTGGCTTTAGACCTGGTCGTGGCTGCATCGACCACATATTCACCATTCGTCAGATTCTAGAACACAGGCATACTTATCGGCGTCCGACAATGGTGGTCTTTCTCGACTTAAAAGCAGCATTTGACTCGGTAGACCGCGAGATTCTGTGGCAGTGTCTGTCATTGAAAGGCGTACCCCAGAAGTACATAAACCTTGTGAAGGCTCTTTACTCGAACACTACTAGTCGAGTCAGGGCTTATGGCGAACTGTCATCTACTTTTGCAACCTCAAGTGGTGTCCGTCAAGGCTGTCCACTTTCCCATTTTTGTTTAACTTCATCATAGACCTACTGATGGAAATAACTTTCTCGTCGACTGAATTCTCGGGTATTGATCTCCATCCAGGAGGTCCACTTATCGACTTAGAATACGCAGATGACATAGTCCTGTTTGGTGAAGACGCTGACAAAATGCAGAGTCTTCTGGTAGCACTAAGCAACAATGCCAGAATGTTTGGAATGCGCTTCTCTCCCTCTAAATGCAAGTTGTTGCTTCAGGACTGGTCTGCGTCAACACCTGAACTAAGGATAGGGAGTGAAGTAGTCGAACGCGTTGACAACTTCACTTATCTTGGAAGTCTGATCAGCCCTAATGGGTTGGTGTCTGACGAAATCTCAGCACGGATTCGAAAAGCTCGTTTGGCTTTTGCCAACTTACGTCACCTTGGCGAAGGCGAGATATCCGTCTATCAATAAAAGGACGAGTATACTGCGCGGCAGTCCGTTCTGTTTTAATTTACGGCAGCGAAACATGGCCATTAAGAGTAGAAGACACTCGTAAGCTACTAGTATTTGACCACAGATGCCTTAGAAATATTGCTGGGGTCTGCTGGGATCACCGGGTAAGTAATAGTGAGGTTAGACGCAGGGTATTAGGAAATGATGGTAAATCAGTTGATGAGGTTATGAATCTTCATCGACTGAGATGGTTGGGCCACGTGTTACGTATGCCTGAACACCGATTACCACGACGTGCAATGCTATCCGGTATTGGAGATGGTTGGAAGAAAGTTAGGGGCGGCCAAACCAAAACGTGGCATCAGTGCTTGAAGTCACTAACTTCTAGTCTGAGCCATGTTGGTAGATGCAGACTACTTGGTTGGGGTCCGCGTGACTATCGTAACCAATGGTTGGAGACTCTTGGTGACATGGCTCAGAATCGATCACAATGGCGTCGGTGTATACACTCTTTGTCTTCCCTTAAACTAAGAGATTAAAATCGCTTCATATCTTTCTTTCTACGAACCAATTCTTTCTTCTTGTATTATATCTCTATATGCAATCTTTCTCTTATATATTACCACCTTTGACATAACCACTGCTATGAATCCGGTGTTCATCTTGTTGTGCTGATGCGGTATGGCAACCTGGACCGATGCACATATGTGCCTGGTCCTACGTTGTAGCTGACTGACTGACTGACAATGATTAATATTCTGTCTGATGTTACTGCGACCGTTTTTCTTTTCGCAAATCGATATCGAGCGGATAATATCGCAAATTAAGTGAGAGGGGATAGAATTTACATTATAAATAGACTCCTCTGATATTTACACCTAAAGACTTACAAAGGTTAGAAGTAACACTTATAGTGGACATGTTAACGGTGCATCATTCAGTGAAATTGCGAAAATTGGTCTGATAACCAGGGAAACGTAAGGTTTTGATGCAGCGTTGGTAGCTGTTATAATTTATCAGTTAAAAAATTTGTCTCCAACGTAAGCTTCTTTTGAAACGTCTGAATAACTTAACAAGTCATTCGTCTCTGTGACTAGTATACTGAATAATATGTTCCTAAAATCTTACTTGCAATTTTCGTATTCCCATTACATAGTGAATGTGTGTATTTTCTTAATATAGACAATGGAATTCCAGCTATCCTAATAAGTCTAACCAACTTCCAGCGACTTGGGTTTCTTCTTATCGGTTAGTTTACGGTCATGATATCAAAAATAAGCTGCTCTTATGTGAATATGCTTTAATAATGCCTAAAGTTTAGAACTTATATAACAGTCGTATTGTAGGTTCGGTGAATAATAATGTCATTTAAATTTTAATCAATGTTATCTAGTCTTACTTTATTTAAATTAGATGATAACTGCTGTTCTGAACCGTTTCGGTGTCGTTTATCAGTGGGTTTTAGTGGCTGAGAACTAGGTTGCACACTTTGCATCGTTGGATGACATTCATTCTTGTTATAATTCGATACAGTGAGATTCTTGGAATGACAATGTGAACAGTAAAGCAAGTTACGCCGAACACGAACTTCCACGTCTGATAGACCATCGCCTAACGCAATTCCACATCTTGCACATACAAAACATGGTAAATGATAGTATAGATTTAAGGATTCAATAACCATTGAGTCCTCAGAATCTGTGTAAAAAGTAAATAAAGTAAATCATTTTAATCGATCTGCGATGAAAGAGACTGTTAATTTATACACAAACTAAACTGTGGATGTTTATAATAGCTATGGATAACTCGAAAAACTGAAACCCAGCTGGGATCTCTAACGTTAGTATCTGTACTGTAATTGCTGTTAAATATTTTGCGGCAGTTAGGAATGTATAGAGTCTGACGAACACAAAGAACCTTAATGTAACAACGGACTTTTGTATGTCATTAAGTAATACAGGGGTTAGTTATGGCTTGATTTCTCCGGCATCAACATCTCTATTATGCATACTGAAATAGGAGAATAGAAGTGTTTATTCTAGATAACAAACCTCATTTTTGAGTGGGAACAAATAAACAAAGACCGCGAGGCTATTACGTTTGGTTCAAAATACTCAAATTACAAAGGTTGCATCTGTCGACAATCTAGAACAAAAAACGAACATCGTTCGAAAAGAAAAGCATTTACGGAGATAGAGTTTTGAGATTTAAAATGTAGTTAGGTTTCTTAACTTTAAACACAGGAGTCTCAAATGAAGGGTGTTGAAATACGTCCCTATAAATGTTTTAAATCTTTATGAAAACCTGAAGTTTGGTAGCAATATAATTGAGGATAAATCTTAACGCATACATTCTGATAAAAGCTTAAGAATCCATAGTAATCGAATCTTATAGGCCAAGTGTAAGGTTGTTATTCGTAGAGATTGAAAGTGCGCATGAAGCTTTTTCAAACTGTCAGGTTTACTCTTAATTTTTTGGCTTAACAGTCGATCATTGTTCAGACCATTTTCATCATCTAGTTTCCATATAGTAATTATATATTAGTAGTTATTTCTAAACGAACTTTTATTTTACTCAACATAAATCTCGTACAATTACTGAGGTCCTCAAAACAAAGCAACTAAAAAGAGGGTCAAACCAGGTGATTAGCAGTTTCGAGTCTTTTAATCACTAGTAAACCACTTGGTTCAGATACTATGGAAAATTTTTGAGTTCTTGTAAATGCAGGATTTGTGCAGACGAAACAAACAAGTGTTACACAGGATATAAAGTAGGATGACCGGCAAATATTTTAATTGCAAGAGTTGTGGGAAAATGTACCAGCAAATAAGTGATCCTCAGGAAAGTAGCTCACTACAACTGGTAAGCTTGTCCAAGCTACAAATAAAAGTTATTTTATCTTACTTTATTATTTTAGCTCATAACTAAGCACTGTCAGGTTTATGTGATAGCATAAAACTATTAATGATTCTAAAATGTAATAGATAAATTGTTAAGCATATGAACTAAATATACCGGTTTATTGAGATTACCTAGTTTGGAATTACACGCTGCGCATAATTGATTAATATCGACTATTCGCACGCGTGGCGTCCGAGGGGGAATTGGTGGCACTTCAACCTCCGAATTTTTGCAAATTTGATGTACTGGCAGTGGAAATTTCTCAGTTTCATCAGAAGACCTGCAATTACAAGGGAAAAAGTAACAGCGTTGTAATTGTATTGAATGAAAAACCAATTCGATTTTTTTCTTTCCGATCAATCAAACAATTTCGTGTGATTATATATATATATATATATATATATATAGCCAGAAGTGAGATGCTAACAGTTAGCATTCTAGACAAATTACTCTTATGTGACGACGACCTTACATATATGTACATTCATCGAATGACTATGTGATTAACAATATTGTGCTATTCAGTAGCGGTGGTTTGGGTACTTGGCTCTAGTTTTTACGTTTAAACATCTACTTGCAGTTAGTATTAAGTCGATACATTTATGACCCTATGTGTAACTGGACCTCTTTAGAAATGACGCTACCAAGGTTATGTATGACTAAATAATTAGCGCAGTAAACAGCCTAATATTTAAGTCAGTAAGATTAATAAACAGATAACTGAAACTACTGGAAAATGACTAAGGTCTGGTTAAAAACAATAATTTGTTCTATATGAATTTCGCTAATAAAATATTACAATGAGACTACAGATTCTATCTCTGACAACAAAGACATACAAGAATACAGATAAGCTAACTTCTGGGATACAAATATACGACAGTATGTACTGGTTACACTAACTGACACCCCACATACATTTAACAAACTTATATTGAGCTTACCTCAAAGCATATTTAACTGATGATCTTTCAAAACCGTGGTCATTAACAAGATCTTCGGTGATGCTTTGTTTATCATCACCATTCAGTGAACCTTGAGGTAGCTGTTTCATTTTAGTCATCGGTATCAATGCATCAGGTTGTGGTGAAGAACGAATGTTCGAAGTGTTGACATAAATATCGGATTCTGAGACACGTAGGGACTTGCTTTTTGTTGTATCGGAAAATGAATCGGACTTAACTGGAATCGTTTGGTTACTTGAACTGAAGATGGATGGACGTGATTCAGATTCAACAGTCGTAGTGAATCCACTAAACTGGGGTGCAGCACGAGTTACTTTAGGAATAGGCCGTGGAGGGACATGGGGTCGGAAGGAATCTAGTTGTTTTGATTTACACAAATCTGTAGTATATAGAGGGTAAGATTGTGGAGGAACATTGAACACTGAATTCTGTTTATAGTTTGCGGGAAATGAACATCGAATACCAGATATATGAGAGGGAATATCATCCCATGTTTCAGGCAGTTTGGGATGAATATGGAATGTTCTCTGCTTTGATGCATGTCTTGTTTTGGGTAACGACGAAAGATGCGAAGTCGTTTCACCTAGAAATGTAGGTGTTGATGTGGGGGAATCTCCAACAATTTTTGAAACATATGTTACCTCTTGTCCAAGTGATCTGTTCACAGCAAAGTGTTCTGGACGAGTTATTTTCTTATGTATAAAACCAGTAGGCTTAATATCCTCCAAAACAGTTGGCTGTATTTGATGGGTCATTTGAATGCTTGGCTAAAAGTCAAGGAGGTAATAAGACGGGTTTAACTTCCAAAAACACTATAATGTTTCTAATTTGCTGCACAAATTCAACATTCTACAGCTTATAAGTGATGTATCTTGTTATATAACGCACACAAAAGTTCCGAAATGTCTTAATGGTTTGTTATTTCCAAAGCTTTGTGGGTTACACAATTTTACTGAACCGGTCACCATACGATAAATAATAACATGCTCAAACCTTTAATAATTACATATCAGTGTGATGATTAAAACTAATCTGGAAATAATTATCAAGCCTAATAAAATGACTACAAGTTCAAAAAGTACAGCTGTGAAACTTCCAATCATATGATTTAACCTACTTAGTCACTTCACAGATGATATGCTGAAGGAGTACCGTTTCAAGTTGTAGGTTATTCTAATTGCCCGGTTAGTCAAAAATTGTCACAACTAGTGATTCATAATTTGATTTCATGTTTTCTCTTTATGATCTTTAAATTTCAGTTTCGCGATTTTGGGATTGATTGATCAGTTGTAAATTGGATTGTCTACAGTTGATGAGACGCCGTGAAATAAAATGTCAATTTTAATTAAAATCAATGAGATTCTGTAATATATAATGTATACGGAATTTTAGAACTTTTATACAGATATTTTCAGTTCTAAAAATCCTGTAAATATACATTAAAAAAGCGACTTACAGATAGTGTGTATGCAGTTACCAATGAGAAAGAAACAGGTTCCGTTAAAGTTACTTCTACATTTTGTTTATGATATAAAGTACTGTTGCAATTTGCTGAATCCGATGGAGTTGGTGTATTTGATGATATATCAAAGTCCGCAGGACTTGAAACTAATGATAAAAGAAAATCATTCGAAGTGATAACAAAACGAAACGAAAACTTTGAAAATAACTACAGTTGGATTTAAACAGTGTTAAGTCTTTAAATCAGCTAGATTAATCCATTTCAGGGACACTTGAATGTCGAATGCTAAAAACGTATAAATGTTGTAAAATCTAAAATCTATTCATTCTTCTAGTGTATATATATTTTGAGTTCTTTTGAAAATTAAATGTAAATTAAAACTCACAGTCGGTCATTCCTTAATGCAAAATCTCGAGGTGTTAATGACTATCCTTCACTTTATGTACTACAAAACATCTTTAATATCAGTTAATTATTCTTACGCTGAAACCTCAGTAGCTATTCAATGATATAATATTAGCTGACCTTTTCATCTAGTATTAGCGCCAATTTTCTACCGGGAACATTTAGTTATGAGTTAAGATTAGTGATGTGTTCTGAACGGGCGTTTTCACATTTGTTGCGAAACCCGAAAAAAATCGATGGAATTAAGCTTAACCAGGATGCTAGGTAATGTTATAGCTGTTTTTCAGAACACATTCTTTTTTAAACAAATAAGGAGAGTCCAATGTATTCTGTAACCTGTCGAGCTGAAATATTTAATAAACTTGACTCGGAAAGTACTCAACCACAAATGATTTTCTTCCAATCCAATTTTACGCATGAACTCTGTTCTCCTTTGATTGCTTGCCGTTAATTCTAGTTCGTTTATTTTCTGCATCATTGAAGGTCATGCTTTCGTTACTATTTATACATTTGCACAAATTCAAGATGTTCTGCTAGAATATCAAGTTTTTCCAACACTTCATCTTTTTTCCTGTGATAACGGGTAATTGTTGAAGTGCAGTGTACTAATTTCGGTTATCAAGTCCGCAACAACACTTTACAAATAAAAATAGGTGAATCGCTCCTTAATTCGCAAGTATCGTGGACCAGTGGGAAGCCTCAATATACTCAGTTGTTTATTAAAATGTAAAAAGATACACAACAACCATACCGTTCTTATCACTACTTGGCTTTAGATAGCTTAAAGATAACATAGATATTACTCGAACAATAATTCGAGGAAATCGTAACATGTTTTACCAAAGGCCATATACATAGAAAACAGAGAAATATTAAGGAACAGGTACCAAAGATGTCTTTACTTGAATCAGAATTTTTGAAAGAAAAAGAGGAATGAACCGTATCTTTCAAAGTTAATTGTCAGAAAGATGTTGATTTTATTGTGTAACTGAACTTGATCAACAAACAAGATGATAAAAATCGATATTTACCCGTTTCTTCATGTGCATTTCAATAGTACTTGCCTCGAAAAATCACATCAACTTTTTCTTAACCAAAGGTTGAATTTAATGAAGAAACTGCATGAAGATATTTATAAGATATCAAACTTTACGCCAATACACAGAAAATACACTGAGATTTATTTAATTACTAAAAAAGATTTTCGAACTGTTGAAAACTAACTGAGAATAAAATGGTCAAGGTTAAATACCAACCTGTCGTCGAAATAATTAATAACATGAAAATTATCAAACCGATCTGGTAATTTTTGTATTCAATAGTGCTTTATTTAACAACACTCAACTGGAATGCAAAGGCTTATTTATTGGTTGATACTTATGCAAACACATTTGTGTGAGAAAAACTAACACGGGGTTGGATGGAACTTGTGTTTGTTCATACAAATTCGATAAACAGAAATATTAATCGTTATGACACGGTTATTTAATTGAAAATACCACTGGTACAACATATAATAATATACGTATTTTCACTAAAAGGTATGCTTACACCAATTAAGTGACATAGTGATCATACATGAACACGATTCATGTCCTCAAAACACATTCATTTCGATAATTTGACGAAGAAGATAACATACATTTAAGTGTCTCTTTGCACCTAATAAAAAATACATATTTGATTTCAGAAAAAAAACCAAGACGTTTTAAAAAAACTCTAGGACAGGAGGATTGTTACCCCCCTTTTTAGTAGGATAGGTGAGTTTCTAAAGTTTAAGGAAAAATGCTGCAAAATATTAATAGGTTGAAAAATGAGACAAATATTAAGGTAATGACATGATAAAAACTTTATAAAATTGTTTGCTTTGCTCAATAGCTGGTAGTAAGTGATACTTGATGTATGACTGATGATGTTTACTCAGAAACTACTATCTTTTAAAATCTCTTCAAGTATGTAGAAACTGTTTGAAGGACTTACAGGTAACAGGCACATTAGGAGCGATAACCAGTTGAATATTTGTGACCTATATAAAGCTTTTGTACGTCAGTCATCTGATTTCATGCTTCCTATATCCACAGGCTTAAAGAATAGTACTGTTTAAATCATCACTAAAGCTGATGTCCGAAAATGTCTCTAGTCGCTTAACTCTTCCCAATGTTTAGGACCTGTGGAAATTACAAACCTCCTTTCTAAAACGTTTGCTGATGTTCTGTATTATCCATTCAAGAGCATCTTAAACAGATCCTTCTCAACTAATCTCATACAGAAAATGTGGGAAAAGATATAGATAATCCCAATACCTAACAAAGTATCAGGGCGATAAAAATGTGAAATTTAGAACTATGACAAAAACTTCACCTTTTCTCAAAACAATGGGAAATTATTGATACTCCCACTTCAACCTAAATTAAAAAAAGCACATTGACTCGTATTTGTTTTCTTACAAATTCAAAAGAAGCACACTGGATGACGTTGTTGTTCTGTATCATAATATAGTATTCAGCTTGGAAAAGGGTAAGAAGTATGTTCGATGAGATTTCCTAGACTATACTTCTGCCTTTGACTATATTCTAAGACAACTACTTATCCAGTTAATCAGCGTCAACACTGACAGCTGGATAACCAACTAGCTATGTTCCTACATGTCTGGAAGAGAACAGTACACCGTGTTTGGAGGAAAGTGTTCGATCTTTTTACTGCTGTTCTTTCTCCTCTTCTTTTCTCTTGTTTTTGCACGGTCTCCCATCTACAGAAAACACGTTTGTGAGATATGCGGACGATCCCACTGTACATATGCCGATTTCCACCTCTTTACATTCACTGGGAATGAATGAGTTCTTGTCTTGTATGGAATGGTGGTCTGTTGTTAATGAGCTCACACTTAATCCATCTAAACGTCAAACTGTTAACTTTAACATGAGATATGAACAATACCTAGACACTGTTGGAATCGCATAAAGCTTATACTATTGGGGATTCTTTGATAAACACAGTGTCAAAGTCATTTACTTTGGTGCAAGTATTTCCTCTAATTTCTCTTGATCTCATGTTTTGCTGCTATCGAAGAAAGTTTCCCATCTGACTTACTACATAAAGAGGCTGCATGCTTTTGCGATTACTCGAGATTTACTTTTACAATTTGTCAATTCTTGCACATTCCCTATTATTCTTTATAGTTTTTTATCTTTTTCTTCTCAGGCTTTTGAGAAAAGATTGCTGTATTGCAGAGAGTGCTGATGGTGGTAAGCAGGGTGAATCTTTTGAGGTCATTAATAATATGGTTGTGGATAGATATCCAGAATCTTGCGAACTCCTGGCAGGTGTTATCTTATCTGATACAAACCATCTCCACTCATATCTTTCGCCTTGTATATCTTCTAGTAGAACGAGACGTCAATACTTTAGAATCCATGCACGCAAGCAATGATATTATAGCCTTATAATACTTTATCTAGCAAATATATTATGTGACGAATAGGTTGTTAGAGTTTACCTAGTCAACAACTTGTATACTTAAACATGTTTCTAACTAGTAAGTTGTACAGATTCAAATAATCTTTAAAAAAACATTTGATTTCATTCCAGGTAGTTTATTTACTTAACTATATATTATGTATACAGTTATCAGTTTTTTTCACTGTTTTTATTTTTTGTAAAAGAAACTTTTTAAAAATCCTTGTACTGAGAATTCTATATTGTACCAAAAATATAATGTTGAGTAAAGCCACTAATATTAATAATAATGAGACAGTCAGACAACACTTGGTCTATGTATAAAACATAGTTGAGATAAATTAAAATATTACATTAGGGATCTAGTACTGTTCAGTGTTAGTTACAATTGCATTTCAATAATCTACACAAATTTGCACAATCTATCGAAAAAGATAAAACGATGAAAGCAGATGTAGTGCAATATTGTACAATTGTTGGAAGTTCCATAAAAGATAATGTATATTCAGAAATAATTGTATATTTATTACAAATATTTACACATTATACATAGATTTATTTATTGTACACTAATCAGTAATTCTTTCATACATACATATATTTCAATAAAAACAGATATTCCAATTAAACTAAAACTATGACAAGCAAAAGATCTCTTTCTACTCAGCGGGACCAATGATGGCGATGACGATGTGTGTCTGCTTGTATTATTAGCAATCACCATTTATAAAAAAATGTGTCTTGGATAAAGTAACACTTGAGTTTGTCAAAATTCGATACAATTAATAGACGCATATTAAATACAAGTACCAATCAATGAATTTTCAATTGCATGAATAAGTATAGTGAGTGAATAATTTACTTTCAAATAAAGGTGATAAACTTGTAGTGTCGGTTATTATGTTAAGCCCACATACCTTATTCTAGCTTTCAGACAGCCCATTCTATTCATTCTACTAGAGTCACATTCTGACCTTGTTATTTAATCGCTTATCAATCTTGACTGTTTTTATATGAACGCGTATGTGTGTACATTTCTTAACCCATTACTCATCACATGTCTGTAACTTTTGTGTAACTATAACTATTGATTAACGCTTGGTTAAATGTGGAGTTGGCTTACCAGCCATCTTCTTCTATCTGAAGTTTGTGCTGATGATGTCGTTCAGAAGAACGATGAAAGCTCCACGACCAAACCATCCAGCTCAGAGAACAAAACTCCACCAAAATACCACCCATCTCTACTCCGCGTCGTTTCTCTTCTCTCTACAAAATATATGTATTC